GAGCGCACACACAGCCTGTGTCTGTGAATGCTTCTCATACTCGCTCCTCTCTGCCCCACGCGGCGCGAATCCCGCGTCACGGACTAGCCGTTCTTGCTTGCCGCACTCACGCAGCGTGTCTCGTAATGCTCGTTTATACTCGCACCCGGCTTCACACCGCAAGTCTTCACGAGCGCATCTGGCAGTATGGGTGAGGCTTGACGCACGCACGCAACCTGTGTCGACTCGCGCCTGGCTCCGTGTTAAAAACGAATGTAAATTCAGTCTAACTGCTTGCTCAAATTTAAAATCGCAAATCAAATCGCAATATCGGTAAAAAAAAAAAAACGCAATTTGATATTTTCCCCTAAATCGCACAGCCCTAATGCAAATGTGTTACCCAGTGACGTATACCAGTAACAGGCAAAAGATTTGAAAATATGACGACTCATTAAGGCGATTCAGAATCAATATCTTTATTTATCATGCACTTTTTTGAAACTTTGCAGATTGTTTTCATTTAAGGATAGCTACGTTATAAACTGCAAAAGAGATATTTTTCAAAAATCCATATGACCTGCTCTTTAAGTTGTAATAATATTTCACAATATTATTTTTTTTTCTGTAGGCTAAATCCACACTTGATGAGCATAAGAGACTTCTTTCAAAAACATTTAAAATAGCAATGTTTCCAAATTTTTGTACTGTATAAGTAAAAATATACAAAATGTAATGTTAAATGTTGTATAAATAAAAAGGTTAGGAATCATATTTGTTTCAAGTGCTTTTTATTGGGGGTGGGGGGGGCTCATTAAGGCGATTCAGAATCAATATCTTTATTTATCATGCACTTTTTTGAAACTTTGCAGATTGTTTTCATTTAAGGATAGCTACGTTATAAACTGCAAAAGAGATATTTTTCAAAAATCCATATGACCTGCTCTTTAAAGAGGTTCCGGCATGGCACTTGCAATTGAAGTGAATGGGGCAATTCTTATAGGAGGATTTAAAAGAAATGTGAAGCTTAAAATGTTATAAAAACCCTTATGTTATGTTAAACTTTGTGGTCTATTTGAGCTGTAAAGATGTTTAAATAATTTTTAGTCATTTTAGGGCATTATGTTGTCTTGGCAACAAAGTTGTAAAACTGGATATAACTTTACACAGAAAAGGTTGTGAAATGAAGTTAGTAAGCAATTTTATCACACTAAAATCATGTTAATAGTCATATTGTTACAGTCTTGTGGTTATACTATTAAAAACGTTATTTTTATCATTTTACGTTTACAGATTTGGCCCCAATCACTTCCATTGTAAGCACCTCACTCTAAACCAAGATATTGGCCCTTTTTTTTTTTTTTTTTTTAAGAAAAACATTATGCAATTATGCCTAGGGTTGGGTACCGTTCACATTTGAACCGGTACCTGAATTCGTGTTTTATTTTTTCTGAAAATCAAATGAAGGCATTAAACATTTATTTTAAATCAAATGAAAATTAAACCCTTTTATTTTTTGGCAAACAAACTGAGGTTTACTGTTGAAATTAATACATGGAAGAAAAATTGTGTGAATATTGCTTTAAAACACTTTTTAATAGGCTAATAATTTTATTATTTTTTTCTACAATTAAGTGATTAATCTGGTTGTAATATTTATTTTTATCATTTAATTGTTTTATTTACATTTGATAGAAAATGGAATATTTAAAGATGTACATTATACTGTACAAAAGTAATACAAGAGTAATATATTTTTGTTACATGCTAAACCGTACTTTTATTTTGACAGGTTGCCACAAAGTTTCTGTGTGTATACAGTATGATGATTTTCTCAAATGAAACGGTAAAATTCTCGCAAAGTGACTCTCACAGCAGCTCTGGAGATTAAGTTTTTGTGTTCATGCCGTCATATAGTGATACGCAGAGGCCAAAAATCACCGCGAGCGTCACGCGTGCTTCAGTATTTGTGTAGTAAAAAACAATGTGTTTCCGCCATTTGTACATACAGAGGCAAGCGGAACATGCAGGATTCATATTTAAACCGTCTTTTTGCATTTTAATATTCACAGACACTAGTTCATATCGCGATTCGAATTAAGTGTCAGTGGCTACTTTTGATTTATTCGTCCAAAATTGACGAATTCCGTGGCATTCCGTGCTAGAGTAAATTACGTTTTTATGAATGGACTCCACGATCCTGTCCGTGTTTTCGCAAAAACCATATGGCCCTAGAAATGTAACCACACTTCAGAACATTTCGGTTTGCCCTGTGTGTTGTTTGAACGAGTTGCAGGGGTGACCTCACGTCACAGGGTTTCTCTTTCTCTCTCTGTAGCGTATGCGCCCAGATGCATTCTCAGGTACCGAAATTTGGCACCGATTGATTTAACGCGAATCGGTACTCGGTAGTACCGATGTAATTCGGTCGGTACCCTTAAAAGTACCGAGTTCGGTACCCAACCCTAATTATGCCACAAGTTTTTTGAATTATTATTTTTTAAACGCATATTTAATATACTTGTAAAAAATGTATAGCCTGAATGCACTGTAAGTCACTTTGGATAAAAGCGTCTGCTAAATGCATAAATTATTATTATTATTATTATTATTATTATATTTTTTATCATTGAATTTTTGTCATTTGTTTTGACATCACAATTTTTAATTAAAATAATTCTCATCCTGCATTTTTTTTTTCATTAATCTGTTTTACTCAGATGTACGTCACAATACGGAAGAAAAGAACTGATGCTACTTTAGTTACACTGTGACTGTAAGTATGTTAATGGTAACAGGAAATACTGATGGTGATGCACTTACGTGATGTCGCTGCGCTGGTAACATCCTTTCAGCAGGGAGCAGAGGAGGTCTGAGAGGAATGCTTGGTCATGTTTCAGTAGTGCTTGCTCAAGTTCCTATCAAACAGAGAACAGCAGGCAGGGGAGGTTAGCCATTATAGCTGGGTTGAGTTTAACTAGCAGCTGCTTTTACGAACTTATGAAATGATGTCAGCTTTAACAGCCTAGCCTGACATTTTTATACCACTCTTTCAGTGATGAGAAAATGTTGTGGCTAACTAACGCCACATAGCGTGAGGCACTCACAGTAGTAGTGTAGATTTATGAATTTCATATGGTAGCTTGACATTTTCAGTGAAACAATGTAATGTAACAACCTATTACAAAACTCTTACTAAAGCTAAAAGTAAGGGGATGCAATAACAATCATGTTTGACTACCTTCTAAGGTTGTCATTATGCATTATGACTGAAACCAGAGAAAAACAAATTGCTGTTACAAGGAACTGCCTGTAGAGTGATGACACTCAACCATAGCCAGTTCAGGAACCAACCTGACAAACTTCTTTTGTTTGCAAGAGCCACGTTAAAAACACACTCAAAATGTGCACTGAATGTTGGGTGAAAGTGGTGTCACCTTAATTTGATCTTTTAAGCTGTAAGGTTACACCACTACAAAGCACTTTCATGCACCATTTGACTTGGATAAACCTGTAGTTCAAAAAGTTCCTGTATAAATGTTTATTACTCATCCTCATATATCTTTTCTTTCTCACCTGTGTGTTAATGACATTTAGTCCAAGGTCAGCTTTGATTGGTTAATCAGCACATAGAGTAGGGGTATGTCACAGTAAGTATATTTAAGTATGTACAGTTATAATTAAACGACAGCGGGCTTCGTGTAGTCAAGTTATGGTCCTCATCTGTCCAACCACACAATGCATATTTGAATATTTAAAAGGATTAAATGCACCTTGAGCATCACCTGTCTTTCACAGAGGCCAATTGTAGTATAATAACTTTATAAGTATAGTTTATTTTAGTTTAGTAGTGTTTAGGTGTGCGGAGATTGATTGTTCAGTTTAGTAGTGTTAACATGACCAAATTTACCAAGTGTTCCATTGGTTCTCAACCTTGCACAGTTTTAAGTTAGTTTGACTAAAGCAATTTATCATCCATCACTGGTCCATCTCAATTTTAAACAGACGGTCACTCTTTAGTTTGGGGGCCAATTCTGACTATTAACTAACTATTAACCATGACTTTTGCCTCAGTAAACCAATAATTTGCTGCTTATTAATAGTTTGAAAGGTATTTGTTAAGTTTAGGTATGGGGTAAGATTAAGGAATCTAAAATATGCTCATGCAGAATAAGGCTGTGTGCTTTATAAGTACTAATAAAAAAGCCAATATGCTAGTAATATGCATGCTAATAAGCTAATAAAGTGTTACCAAAATTCTTTGCTTTAGTCCAACTAAAATCAAACTTTTAAAGTGCAAGTAAACATACTTTGTGATGTGATTCACAAATGCGATTCATGTGAAGGTTAAGTACCAAGGGTGGCACAACTTGAATGGCTTTGGTCAGAAGTCCTTATTCCTGAAGCAAACTGATGCATTAAATCATAACATCTGGCGTAGCCAAGTCATGAAAGATCTGGGCACCATTGTAGGCTCAATCCTTTCAAGGGGCGATCCGTGAGCTATTACCATTGTGACCTTGGGCAAGACAATTCACCCTGGGTTACTCTGAAGGGATTTTCCCAATAATAGGTGTACTGCAATCTGCACTAGATGAAAGTGTCAGCTTAATGACAATTCAAAGCAAATTAGACATCTAAACAGGCTATGAAAACATTAGGTAAAAACCAATACGAGAAGCAATAAGTCACTGTCAATATGAATTAACAATGGAAACCACCTGACTTGAATATATGGTAAAATCCTTAGAGTAACTACACTGAAAATGCACCTAAAAATTTTCCAGGTTCTCAATACAGCTTCTAGCAACAAGATGGAACTGGAGTTTAACCTTGACCTCAGTCTTATTCCATTTTGTTGCAGCTATTGAGGGTTTATGAAGCGGTAATAAGTGGGACTGCAAACTCCCTACTGAAAGGAGCAGAAGAGAAGCCAAGCGACAGCATGAGCCCACAGCCACGGCTAGGACTGGGGTGACCCATCACAACCTGACCCAGCATGCACTTCTCTCTCCTCTGAATGCCCAATGTCACCAAGAAAGAGGGAGGGGGATATCGAGAAATGTAAATGGCCAGTGCTCCATCACGGTCCATCTCAAGGAGCTTAGTGACTGCGGTTGCTTTCCTTTCACAAGGACCCTCAGGCAACATGGAGCACTTTTCAGCTCCCGTATAAAACACATTCTGCCCCTTTACCCCTTCAGAACAGAGTGACACTACAAAATTAACTCAAGGGCGAGAGAGGTAGCCCATCCATTCATTGTGAGATTCACTCAAGCTGCAGATTGCTGTTTCTCTCTAGAGAAATGGCGGAGAGAACGGGGTCACAGAGGGTCAGCTCACACACCTCCTGGCTGTAGAGAGGCAAGGAAACCAGGAGCCCCATGTCAGTAGGAGGAAAAACAGAGGGAGAGCTTGAAAAACAGGATGAGACACGTTTGTGCTTAAGGTGAAAAAAAATGCAATGTCCTTAGATTGTTCTCTAGGAAAAAATGTCAGTGGTATTGCTTAACATGCTGAATCTATTAGGCTATTTTGGGTTGATTGTTAAAGCAATTTAAAAGCTATTGATTATCCCCTCCAGGCACTCAATGAAGAGTCTAAAGTGTCTGTAAAACTCCTTATTGAAGGAGACAGTCTGCTTGGGCAGGAAATCCAGAGGTGAAATGCATCCACTGTAACAAAAAGGCTTATGGCTGGGCAAATTTTGTACCTCTTCACGTATTCATCTATTTGTATCCATCTCTTCATGACTCACTCACACTGTGAGTGTTTGGGGTTGTCATGAACATCCAGGATCATCTTCGAGTGATGGGCCATTCTGGCCTTCCACACATCCCTCAGATCCCCCGTTACGCCTACAAAACTTCCTGGTCCCTTGACAGTAAGAGGGCCAGAGTGGGCCCATCTATCAGTGCAGCCTCGACTTTGATCACATTTCAAACCTGAGGCCAACTGCGGGGGATTAACACAACCCCACTTCGCTTTTGAAGTGCCATTCAGTGGCTCAGATGGCAGAGAAGGGGAATTAATGTTGTACGTGTCCTTTCCTCCACAAAGTCTCCTCTAACAGTTCCCTGAAGATCTCCGACCTCAATCTTCTTTCTTAACCAACTAGCAAAACAGGTATGGCAAGCACAGCACAGTTGGGCAAGAAACCAAAGTGAAAGCCTTTGATGAGTGACTGGGAGTAATATTTTCAGTCAAGTCCAAGGTTAAAGAGTTCACCTAACAATGAAAATACTGTCATCATTTACTCACCCTGTGTGATATTTTTAAGAATAGAAAAGAAGACGTTTAAGAATACACTATCCCATTAATAGTTTACCTAGCAAATCTTAAATGTGGCTGACGTGGTAGGGCACATGACAACTGCATGTGTCACTGATAAAGGTTTGTGCTTCTGCCATGACAGAGCTTTAGCAAAACTGAGCCGCCCCCATATCAGTTCCTGGTGCACACCAGAAACTCTCAACAGATGGTATATTGGCAAAAACAGCTTTTGCTGTGTAAGGGAGCAACAGGAAGGCCGTGAACTAGGGTTGGGCCAATATACTATGCCATCGTCCACGATGTCCAGCCGTCAAAGTAGGTGATACTGCGCATGTGTCGAGCTCGTCCATCTGCACTCATCTGCTGTTGAGTATACTTTGAAAGCTGTGCGGACGCGGCTGTGCGAGAGACAAAACAGAATGAGAAAAATAAAGAATATCTGGGCCTTCAGTGGTCAGCTGCTGCAGAGCGTGCCAAAATCGAAATTGCTGATGAGATGAAGACAAAAATATCTAGTGGAAAATTAGAATGTTATGGTTTTAATGATATAATTGTTTTCAATGTTTTGGAAGATGGCCATCATCCATTGCAATGTTTCACTGTAGACATCGTCTGATGTAGGGGTGTCGCGATATACCGGTATTAGGGCTGCACGATAAATCGCATGCGATATTTAATGCGCATCTTTTCAGAAAGCCGGTTCTGTAATCAGCGGTAAATCTCCATCACGTGCGTGCTTTCACATTGAGCAGCATTAACTACACAGAGCCGTTGTTCACTGACAAGCTGCGCAAAAAATCGTGCGAATATGAACGTGGTTTTGCGCAGCCCGTCAGTGAACAATGGCTCTGTGTAGTTAATGCTGCTCAATGTGAAAGCACGCACGTGATGGGAGATTTACCGCTGATTACAGATCCGTCTTTACTGATAAGATGCGTGTTAAATATCACATGCGATTTATCGTGCAGCCCTAACCGGTATTGTCGATAATCGTGATATTTAAAAAATGAAATATCATTATCAAGTTAATTAGGGGTGTTGTGATATACTTCATCTACAATATTTCAAAAAGTATACAGCACTAAACTCTCACGTGTAATTTGCTTCATTCATACCCGACGTGTAATTTGTTTCATTCATATGAAATTTTCCCACCGGTTAATCGACATGTGAATACTGGTATAGCTTAAAAGCACCGTGCGCATTTTATTTCCACTTTCGAATTAGTCGGCATCAATTGCTCGAACGCAACAACAAAATACAACGTCAAACTCACTTTAGAGTAGAGTATATATAAAACATAGAACTTTTATTAACAAAACAAATAAAAATACACCATGCTATAGGGCAGGCTATGCCTAATAAAAAATAACAAATAACTTACATAAAGTTTAAATAGGTATACAAAACTGGAAATGAGTAAACATGTATAATATATAACCAAATAAATAAGAAACGTAGAACGTTTATTAGAAAAACGAATGTCAAATAAAATAAATAAACGACACAGTTTAAATAAAGAAAATCAGCAAACAATGTGGAACCAATTAAATAAGAAACGAATGTTTAAAGAAACTTCCAAAATCAGATAAACGGCAAAAGTCAACAGGCTTTTCAAA